GTATGATAACAGCTCACTGCATACTCCAATTCCTGGGCTCAAGTGATCATCCACTTCAGCCTCCTAAGTAGCTAGGACTAGAGGTGTGCATCACCCATGCCTGGCTAATTTTTAATTTTTTTTTTTTTTTTTTATAGAGACAGGGTCTTGCTATGTTCCCCAGGTTGGTCTTGAACAGTTGGCCTCAAGCAATCTTTCTGAGAATGAGCTGTAAGCTGCCATGTTCAGCTGACTACACATGGTTGAATGCACTCCCTTTTTCAACACTTGCATTTGAATTACTCTTAGCTCCTTTTTTCTTAAAACTAATTCCCTAATCACTTCCTTTCTGTTGAGTTGTCAGATTTTTTCTTTGAAGGTTTTTGTTTCAAATATGTCACTTGAGCTCTTAATAATAGGCTGATTACAGATATTATGCCTAATCCTTTAATTTTTTCAATGTTTTTCTTTTCTTTTTTTTTTTTTTTTTTTTTTCCGTAGAGACAGTCTCACTTTGTTGCCTCGGTAGAGTGCTGTGGTGTCACACAGCTCACAGCAATCTCCAGCTCCTGGGCTTAGGTGATTCTCTAGCCTCAGCCTCCCAAGTACCTGGAACTACAGATGCCTGCCACAATGCCCAGCTATATTTTTGTTGCAGTTTGGCTGGTGCTGGGTTTGAACCTACCACCCTCAGTATATGGGGCCGGTGTCCTATTCACTGAGCCACAGGGGCCGCCCCTTCAATGTTGTTTTAAAATACAAAGGCTTAAAATATTTATGTACTTAAAACCATAATAACATTTGTGACTCTCCCCACCCAATTCTAAGCTCAGAAATATCTTTTATCTCTAGAAACTTGACATTGATAATCAGTTATTTTTCTACTTTTCCTTATGATTTATTTTTTCGAATTTTACTCTATAATCTACTTCTGTTTCCCCGTAAGTTATTGGCACCTGTTTCAAAATCACTTAATAAATAATCCTTTCTCTAATCATCTGCGGTTCTTTAATACATTTTTACTTTTTTATATTTCTTGGCTATCTGACTTTGCTAAGATCTCAGATCAAGGGTTACCTCCTCATAGGACAATATCTATATAAATGATAACATGCTTTTTCTTTGTCCAAATTCAATCTTATGATGTTTTACTGTATTCTCAAAATTTCTGGAAGAATGTTAAGTCCCTTTACTCTTATTTTTAAGAGGAAGGCTTCTAATATGTATCATTTCCATGCCAGCCTGCTTTTATGTCCCCTTAGAGAGCCAAGACCCTGAGCTAGACAGAAATGGAGGTCTTTGAGACCCATGTGGCCCCAAAGATCAGCAAAAAACCCTGACTCAAGTGTGAAAAGAAAACATTAGAGTCTATTCATATTTTAAAAATTTCTCCTTTTATAAATCTTACAGTACATATAGTATTAGCAAATCAACATGTAAATATAATTTGTAAATAATTTACATAATATATTACGATCTGTTTTCAATGTAGTAATTTTCAACTGGTATGCTGTCAGAGAATCTTAGGTGTACCGTGAAAATTTTTAAAAATGATTAATTAAAATATTTTAGAAAGAAGTTCAAAGCACAGTAAGCATATTCTTATTTTTACTTTTTATTTTGATCAACATAATTTAAGGGTGCTGTAGAACTTTAAAAAAGGCTAAAAACACTGTTTCAGTGTTTTCTGTTAGCTCATATGGATGGGTAATCAAAAGGCCAATGATTCCTGCTCTACTGCATCTCACTCCCCTCAAGTAGGCTCTATTTTTTTGTCCCAACCCAGCTCATGCCTCTTCCCCATACTCCTATGCCTTGCACCAAAACTGCCTAAACTACTGCTTCAGTATCAATATCCTCCATACGTCTTCTCAATTCCTTCTCCTACATTGCCTTCACTAAAACTTGATGTCACATGAAGAAATCACTTATGTTTGTATTTACGGTCCTTTTGAGAAGTGGCATTTTAAAACAAATTCTTGAGGGACTTTACCTAACAACCACAATCAGTGTAAGCTAATTGTTTGTACCCTTAATGCATCCCAAACAATAAAAAAAAAAAAACTCTCATACTCCTCATTAGGATTAGCAAGTTCATTCTTAAATTATCAAGGGATTGTAATGTATCTAGACAAAAGAGTACATGTCCCAGTATCCTTCAAAGCAAAATATGGCTATGTAGCTAAGACTTGATATGTAACCAGAAATTGTTGGGAGAGACTTCTGGAAAGTCTCCTTAAAAAGCATTACAACAGGGTAAAGAGCTTACCAACTTTCTCCTCCCTGATATCTAAAATAAAAATACTAGATGACTGATGCTCTTATTCAAAGATCCCACCTGACAGGAATATGTGACCCATAACAAGAAAAAATATAAGCCAACATACAAGCATATCAAACAATGAAAAAATAATGGAAATAGGAGATAATGACATTAAGATACTAGGAAATTATTATGAAAGGCCAAAACAAAAACAAAAAAACCCCACCAACCCCCCCCCCCCAATTCACTGGATAGGATTGACAGTATAGACACCAAGAAAGAAAAGATTCCAGGACAAAGCAATATAAGCTACTCAAATAAAAGAAGAGAAAGAGGACTATGGGATAAAAAAAATAAAAAAAGAAGAAGAAGAAAAAATAAAAACTAAAAATGAAACCCAAATCTCTCTTGAGATATGGGAACATATCAAGTATTCTAATACACAGGTGAGATTAGATTCCCCAAAAATGGGGGGAGAGGGTGGCAAAAGAAAGTGCTAAAAGACAAAACTGACAAATTAAAATTCTTTATCCAGCAAAATAGCATTCAAGTATAAAATAAATGCTTATTTTTAAACAATAGAAGCTGAAATAATTCATTAGCAGCAAGTCTGATAAAAAAATGATAAAGCTCTTCCAGGGGAAAGAAAATGATACCAGATTTAAAACTTGAATCCACATAAAAGAAGGAATAGCACTGAAATTAGTAAAAATAAAAAAGGTTATTTTCTCATTTTATAAATTTCTTTAAAATAGAATGGACTTGTTTAAAAAAACACATTATAGAATTTATGCATATATGTAAGTACAATATATGACAACTGTAGTCAAAGGACAGGAGGGAAAAAAGTTCTTACCTTATATGTTAGCATTAGGTGGTATATTGATGAGGCAGTGGACTATGTTAAATTATGTAAGCACTAAAGCAATCACTAAAAAAGTTAAAATAAGCCCATAGTAGAGTTAAAAAAGACTTTAAAAAAAACTTACAATTATCAAAAAGTCAGAAAAAGAAAACAAAACAGATAACACAAATAGAAAACCAATAGCAAGACAACAGACCTAATCCTAAACACATGAATATTACAAGTACATTAAATATAAATGGTTTAAATACTTTGATTAAAAGACAGAGGCTATCATACTGGATAAAAAAGAGCCAACAAGATGCTGTCAATGAGATCCCACTGAACTGAAGTAATAAATGCCAGCAAAGTATTTTATATGCCACAAAAATAAGTTTTGCAAAAGGAGAAATAATCTTTCCCAGACAATCAAACACTAGGGTAATTTGTTACCACTAGTCCCAGCCTATAGTACTTTATACATGGAAAAGAGCAATGAAGACCCCACCAGTGTAAAACACCCAAAAGTAAAAGCTTACCACTCTTATAAAACAGGTAACCCAAGAGAGAAAACCAAGCAATTAGGTTATCATTCAACATGAACAGAACAGCATCTCACATATCAAAACTAACACTGAACATGAAGGCTCTTAATGCTACATTTGAAAGATACAAACTGGTTGAACGGATGAAAAAATACACCCCAAGTATACAAGAAACACATTTAACTTGCAAGGATGCTCACAGACTCAAAGTAAAGGGATGGAAATAAATATTCCACATAAATAGAAACCAAAAGCAAGGAATATCTATGCTCTTATTAGATATAAAAAAGACTACATTAACAATGGTAAAAAAAGACAAAGATAGTTATTATGCAATGATAAAGTGTGGAATTCATCAAGAAGATAAAGCAATCCTAAATATATATGTACCCAACATAAGAATTCCCACATTCATAAAATATATTCTATATCTAAGCAAAGAAATAAATAGCAACATAATAGCTGAGAACTTCGACCCTCCACTGACAGACTGAGACAAATCACTGAGGTAGCAGATCAATAAAGAAAGACTGAATTTTAAACAGGACTACAGAACAAATAAACCTGATATTCTTTTCATCACTGCATTTTCCAAGATAGATATGTTAGCCCACCAATCAAATCTCAGCAAATTAGA